TGTATCGGATCGGATTATACGCCCCTCTCTTTGCGATATCCGATCCACAGATTTTGGCCAATATCGGACTAATATCGATACTTAATATCGGATCGGCCCACCCCTAGTACATACCAACAAGATTTGCATTAGTTAAATATAGTACATAATTAAAAATGTCTTGTTCAGGTAAAATACAATAAACAGGATGAGAAGTACTCATTCGGCTGTTATTTCACTGTCATTTGGTCTAGTTTTAGTATATTGCTGCTGCACTTGACTTGAGATGGGCTCATTTCCATTGGTAAAATCTTACCTCCTTTCTCCTCAGTTCCGTGCCCTCCGTCTGCCGTGCGTTTCCGGCTGCAGAATATCAGTCAGGATTACTGGGTGATGACGACCTGGGACAGCGTTAACTGCTCTGATGTTGAGTACCTGATGGAGATAAGTGGTCAAATCCAGAACAACCCAGAGGCCCTGATACATTTCTCTTCTTACTGGGTACCCAGGAGATACTTTGAGGTGCCGTTACCTTGCAGCACAGCTTTTAACCTCACAGTATGTGCCCGAAACTCAGCCGGAGTCAGCAAGCCTTCTAGTACCTTAACTGGATTTACAGGTAACTTAACATTTTACTCAGACAGAATAGAGTTTTTGTGACTGTTATGTAAAAATCAAGTTTTTTTTTGTTTTTTTTTTTAGCTATTTTTTAATTTACAACCAGTATATAACATTTTAAAATGGTTTAATTCTATAGTGTATAATGGTTGCACAAAGCTTATAAATGCTAATTCAATTAACGTGTTACATCTAGCACTTCCAGACTATCTGTTAACGGCATCTTCACTGTTTCCCTCCCAGCGCCCTGTGCTCCACAGAATGTGCAATACAGTGGTAACGGTCTGTCTGCTGTGCTGTCCTGGAACCCATCAGTGTTTGCCAGTAGCTACACTGTTTACGGTGTATTAGGAGGTGGGCGCGTTTTACTTTGCAACACCACCGGGTTCTCATGCACAGTGACCTACTATACCTATTACAGTGCCATTGAAGTGACAGCCAGCAATGCTGTGGGAGAGAGCAGCCCTAACCAAATTATTACAGGTCAGTCACCCGGCTCAGCAAAACCTCATCTCACGATTTTGTTCAATATTCAGTGAAGCTAGAAGCTGCCAGCTGACCATTACCTCAAGTTCCACTCCTCTTAGTTACTGTTGCTACACCTGTCAAGCTTTCACTTTGTGCATGCCATATATGCAGTTTACAGCAACCAATGCAATAGATTTGCCATTGAATTTCTAGCTAATTTTTCAAGTAATGACTCTTGGATTTCAGCCAGAAGCATACTTCCTCATTTCTAGGCAGCTACCAGTGATTTGGTGGCTGAAGTGACAGCTGTCACTGTAAGATTATGTCAGCAGTATCTTGTGTTGGAAATGCTGACTTTTCAATGCTTCTATCTGGACAAAAATGTAAAATCAAACATTTGTTATAAATCTGTTCACATACAGTAGATGTAGACAGGAAAGAGGGGTATATTTTCAAACAATGTGTGCATTTTCATATAGTATGTTACTTTTTATGTTACCTGTGAAAAAGGTCTGAGGATGACAACTAGGACTGTATTTAGCAAATGTAAGGCAACCTCAGGTTATGTTGATGGGGAGTAAACTTCTAATGCAGAGCCACTAACTTAATCTCTGATAGCATCCAGAACTGGTTTCCACAACCTCAATGCTGTATCTCATTTCATCTCTATATACTTGAGCCATTTTGAAATTCCAGTTTCAGGCATTTGTAACGTGTTTATTGTCCTCCTCAGGTCCAGTGGGTACTCGCAGAAGAAGAGATTTAGTTGAAAGTACAGGTATGTGTTCTTACGTATTGTAGTAACCAGTCATAAAGCAAAGTTCATCATAGTGATAAACCTGGCCTATAAAACACCTGTTATCACCCATCTCTCTCTTGCTCAGGTCTTGAAATCCCAGTGGTGCAGAATTTAACAGCAAGTGGAGTTGCCTTGTATGTGAAGTGGACAGCAGTTAAGAATGCAACCCTGTACATGGTTGTCATTAAGGATGAACAGGAAGCGCACCCGGCTATAGAGATAATAGTGCAAGGTGTTTTTTATATTGCGAATGAGCTGAAGTCCTGGACCACCTACTGTGTCACGCTCGCAGCCAGCAACAACAACAGCCAAAGCGACTACTCCATGCCACAGTGTGCAACCACTGGAGCCTCCAAATGAAATACCGCATGTCAGCTTACATTAAACTAGATTCAGTAGAAATATGATCTGTCTTCTCCACTTTTTAGCATCCATAAAAAAATTGTTACCAGTTCAGTCTCTAAAGAACCTTTGGTGCAAAACTGTAAAGCTGTAACAGAACTGTTGTTTGAGTATGTCTTACATGTCCAAAATAAATTATGCTCAAAATTAATGAGAACAGTTAAGAGTTGAATGCTTATGAATATACGTTAGCAATAACAGACAGTGTTTAGTACATTATAACAGCATGTGGCATTATAGCTGTCTAAGTACTATTGAAATTGTATTTATCAAAAATTGTTCTGTTTTTGAGATACCTTAGATTCTCTGCATAATTGTTAGACTAAAAAGTGGTGTAAACAAATAAATATAATTTATCAGGCAATTTTTTTAAACCATGCAGTATATTTTCTATGGCTTCTCATTTTATGAACATTTCATGCATATCTTTTAACAATCCCAGAAATGAAGGAATAAAAGAGTCTGAACATTAATAAAACATCCCTCTGTATAAATATTAGTTAAATCTTCCATTTAAAAAAAACCCTCAAGGTTGTGTGTGTTTAAGATTTGTTTATTTATCTATGGCTACAAATAATGATCACTTTCATTATTGATTAATCTAGCAATTTTCTTGATTAGTTGTTTGGTAAAGAACATTTTTGATCAAAAGACTATGAAACTGGTTCAAAAACCTAGTTCTTTAAAACGGACAATATTTAATGTGGCAGAGGATAAGAAAAATTTTCAGATTATATGACATGGACTACAGAGTCGACATTTAAAGGATGTGAACACTCTAAAATTATATTTCATGCACCATTTAATCTTAGGCACAAAATGAATATACCATTTATGCACAAAAAAGTCATCATCAAAGGGTTTCAGGTTCTGACAGTGTTCCTTTAAAGGAGCTCTCCACAGTCTGGACGTACTTCACCAAGCTTGTATTGTACCCCTGACTCAGTCAATTACAGTTTTGCAGTAAAACATATGAATTTAAAAAACATTAGAATTACTGTATGAGTCTCACAATTTGCATTATTTTATTTTTCACAGAGCTGAGTTATTTGAATACATTTTGTAATTGGAATTAGTTTTGTGCACTATTTTAATTGTCTTCCTTACTCAGAATTTGAAGGTCCTTAGATATGAAGTCCAAAATATGTTATGGAAGTGAGAACAAATTATTTTTCTTCATGACACCCAGGCTAAAGTCTATACTTTAACCTTGCAGTCTCCTGATAAAAAATATAACAAAAGTTTTTCAGCATCATATTTTCCTTGGCCACCTAGAATAAACCTGAGATTTTGTTTATCGTGACACTGACTAATGTTGCAATATTAACTCTTAAGATTTAAAAAACACTAATACAAGTATTACATACATTGAAAGAATACCTGCATGTTCAGTACATTTTCTAAACCAAGGTAGATGAAACCCCATCAGATTCACTGGTATGGATTGTTTCAAAGGTTTTGTGCTTAAATTCAGGATATATTTCTTCTTGCTATCCAATCCCCATATACGTCCGTGTTAAATTGCTCAACTTTACAGCAGAAAGAAACGTGTTTAATGCCTGGTACAAAACGGTTTTGGTGTCTATAGCTAGATTTCCTTTCCATGACAATTGTACGGGGGACGAATCTTTTTATAACTCGCCCTATATCGAGACTAAAGGTAACGCATTTAATTAAGAGCGTGGCCACCTCGAGTGACAGGCGGGAGGGTTCATGAGCTTCAAAACTGCTCCTCAGAAAACCAATAGGTGACGTCACGATGGGTTTGTCTATCTTTTATGTACAGTGATTGTTACTTACTGTACAGAAGCTGTGGTTAATGTTCTTTTATTGCTTTTATTTGTTTTGAACCTGGACCTTGAGTCTGTAATAAAGTGTCATTCTTTCATTCAATGTGTAATTGTTAGGTTAGGATTTGTGAAGCTAACTTACCAATAAAGAAGCAGCAGTGTAAAAAATAATATTGGTCACCTCATACTAACTACTTGCTCACAATTTATTAATAATAATAATAATAATAATAATAATAATAATAATAATAATAAGGACGCCCATACGCAATAACAACAGCGCCCTCTGGAGGCCGGTAAGCGCGCGCAGTGGGTGTTTTCTGATTAAACACAGATGGAGCCACTTTTCAGTCCTGCGCTTTACAGGCAAAGACATCAATTTGTCATCGATTTTGTCAAGCGGAACAAACCCAGAAAGGTAGCTAACGTCTTACTGAGAATCCGATTTACTTCAAATACTTTTGCGATAAAGCTGGACTTTTCGTTTGAGCTACTGAAGTCATTGTAAGTTTACCTAACCTTTTCAGCTAGCGTTAGCTAATGAGACACCCGCACTTTTAACGTGAGCTAACAGCTAACACAAATTAAAAGTGAAGTTTTTAGCATCAGCTGTTTATGAGGTTTTGCATTCATTGCCATGTCGATCTTTAGTTTAGAACTGTTTTGTTAAATGTAGCCAAAAGGTCACTTCTCTGGCTAACTAAATATTTGACACACTTTCTTCGTTTTCTCCTTAGGTGGTGGACTTGGGCTGTGGCGAGTGCAGCCTCCTGAAATGGCTCCGGTTTCACCGTGAAATTGAACATCTAGTTGGAGTGGACGTCAACGGTACCAGAGTAAAGAAAAACATGTATGTAAAGCTAAAAATGAAAGGTACAGCTGTAAATACTTTGGCCACATATGGCTGGGCACATTCTTCAGATATTTAGCAGTAAATATTTAATTGCCCTGTGGCGGAGGCACATTATGAAGAGGTACTATTTTCTGACATGCCAGAGTACAAATAGATCGAATGACAAGCGTTTTTGCAGCCCTAGATGTATGGATGGATGAACAGAAAGTAGTCAAACTGATGTTCATTGTAAGGCAAAACTATTAAGTCCATCATACAAACATTTGGGCATCCTGGATAATTTGCATATTTTTTTGATTGAAGTGAAACAAGCAAATACAACCCCTGCATTAAAAACTCCCCTTTTGTCAAATGTTATTTTGAATAGAAGATTTGAAAATAATAAACAGTCACCATGGCATGCTCATTTCCAGCCATTTAATGTTTAATCTTGGGTACCTCTAGATTAGCTTCACGCCCTTCATAACTCCAAATAGTCTGTAATTATTTCAGAATGATAAAACCAGAGAGCCACTTTCTAAAAATGAGAGGATCGTTTCTGAACACGTACAACTCCTGCTGCCAGTGTTGTTGCATGTGGACAGCACAACAAACCCCAACAGCATTAATTAATTTCAATTTCTCCTCCATAGACAGGTAAACAATGGCATACGTACTGATGAAAAGATATGTGTGACACACTAAACAAAGCGGGCAATTGATAAACCACATATTTTAACTGGCATAGTGGAGACAGTAACTTCTCCAGCCTCATAACAATTTTCTCTAAAGTTACACTCCCTTTCAAGTAGCTCCAAGGTCGATAACCTCAGGCCCTGCATTGTCTCCACATCCTTTGGTCAGAATGCAGCAGCAGCAGGAGGTAAAATATATATAGAAAAACCATGTGCAGCCTACAAATCCTGCTTTTACAATGGTGCAGGTTTTAATCCGTAAACAATCTGGAAGCAAGCACAACATGGTGCAGACACAGTAAATAGGAAATGAATACAGTTACCGCAGAGACAGGAAACAGCAGGAACCACTGCCTTGACATGTGGTGTGCTTACTTTCTTTCCACCTCTGGGTAACTGACTCATAATTCAAGTGTTCATTCCTGAACTGAAAACCCCAGGTTCTCCTCATTTCACTTTGAACAAACTCCATGTTTTCACTTATCCTTCTTTCTAGTATACCCCCAAGGGTGATTGGGCCAATTAATTGCTTGTTTATAAATCAAGGCTTTAAAGTTGGTTTAACTTTTACACTGTGATTATTTGTAACTTATTAGGGTGAAGATACCTCAAAATCCACCCACCAGCTGCTTCAAGAAATACACTGAGGCTTTGAGAATTGCCCTTGCACCCCGTTGACTTAAATGTCGATGGTATTCTGTAGGTTCATCTTAAACGTGCTGCGTGTACAAGACAGGAATGACTCTGAACTAATCTGGATTGGATTGCCTTCTAGATGTATTGTCTTCAAAGTTAGCTGAGTTTAGCTTAGTCTGGACTAGTGTGCCCCATGTGAAGCCTGCGCACAAGTGTGTATGCCCTAAAGATTGACTGATATAAAAACACCCAAATTAAATATTCAAAATGTTTAATGCGTAACAATTTTATGGTTCTTTCTCCAAAAAAAAGTAGATGTAAATCCATTCTTGAAAATCTAGAGACAATAACGTGTAGACGCTACTTCTTTCAGGCTTGGACTAGCTCCTTTATCAGCCGAATATCTACAGCCAAGTTATCACCAGCTGTGTGTCGAGTTGTACCAGGGCTCAGTCACACAAAAAGACGCCCGCCTCAGAGGATTTGATCTGGTGACCAGTATCGAGCTGTAAGTGGCTGTTCATGTAATGTTATGGCTCAGTGTCTCTCTGCTATTGTTTACCCGTGTGTCGTCCCTGAATGTCTCCAGCATCGAGCACCTCACTCTTGCTGATGTGCAGCGCTTCTCTGAGGTGGTGTTTGGTTACATGACTCCAGTGGCTGTTATCGTCAGCACCCCAAACTTTGAGTTCAACCCCCTTCTACCTGGATTGATCTCAAGATTCAGGCACAGTGACCACAAGTTTGAGTGGACCAGAGCAGAGTTCAGATCCTGGTACAGTTTGTAGTTTTTAAAGATCCATTTTCATGATGGTGGTCAACACAGAGTGGAGTGTTGTGATGAAGATGACAGGAAATGTAAATGGATAAAATGTACCAAAAATACATTAGTGCTGTTAAATATTCCTTTATGAACAACTTCATGAACAGTGATTTGAATTGAATTTTGTTAAAACTACATCCCTCCACAGGGCTCAGAAGGTGTGTTTGGACTTTGGTTATGAGGTGGAGCTCACAGGTGTTGGACAGGCACCATCAGGCCAGCAGGAGCGAGTTGGCTTCTGCTCTCAGATCGGTGTGTTTCACCGGCTCGGGGCGAAAGACGGCAGCAACGTTCTGTTTGCTGATGATGCAGATGATGTATCCTCATACACACTGGTGAGCAGGTTTATTTTGTAGACCAGAAGTTGGTCCTCAAATGAGTCGGGCCTCGTAATAGCCCAGCACTCAAGACACATAACTGCAGGTGCTTTCTATTTGGCTATCATGGCTTCCTGTCTTCCTCATGTCACCTCTTTCTCACATCTTACCTCCTCCCCATAGTGAGAGAGAGAGAGAGAGAGAGAGAGCGAATGTAAGAATTGTATTTGCCACATGGGACGTCCTCGCTTACTCCAGTGGCACATTAAGGTGATGACAGTCACTGCAGCATCAGTGTGACTAAAAAACAACTGACAGTTTGTTGATTGTTTCGCCCGATGCCGGCTGGGATTGGCTCCAGCCCCCTGCGACCCCGTTCTGGACTAAGCGGTGTAGAAAATGAGAGTTTGTCGATTGCAGAAAAACACAGCAGACGTGAGGTATTAAAGCAGCATTAAGTCATATTTACACTTCATTGTAGCAAAGGTAGATGTTGACACCTGTGCCGCAGTGGCCTTTAATGACAAACTTTAACTCGAATTATAAAGATAAGAATGTAGACAGGCAGAAGAGAGATCTCGCATGCAGGAAATGAAATTCTAGGTCTAGATCAGCATCAGTACAGTACCTTAGATTTTCAGACCACTGGGAACTTTGGGTCACAACAACTATCACATCTCACACGGGAGAAGTTCCCGTGATTGTTGTTTCATCTCCTGTCTCGTGTGTGTTTCTGTGTCAGCTGTATAGTGTTAACTACCCCAGCCTGCGTGACAACAACATCTTGCAGAGGGTCCTGCTAAGCGAGGTGTTGTGCTGGGCTGAAAAACTAAAGAGTAGATGGATCCAGGAGGAAACTGGTGAGAGGGATGACAAGGAGGGAGGAGGGGCGGCGTGTCTCTCACAGCAGCACAGGGAGACGGAGAAAAGGCAGACAGGTGAACATCCCAACACTTCACCTCTGCATGTTTGGTTTGGTAATCTGGCTTAGAAAGCAGGAAAAAAAGAGACCAGACATATTTTAAAAATGTGAAAGTCACAGAGGTTATTTTCTTAGATGGTATGGTGTGAACCCAGGGTTTCTCCAGAATACTCGTTTTGTTTGTTTACAGTAAAAGTTTTAGGCACTAAAAGTAACGATGCTTTCAAAAGTAAAGCCATGAATAGTTTTATTTTTCAAGTAACCTCATACAGAATGCATTAAAGGTAAGAAAATGAAATCAGTAATTGGTGCACAGTGATTTTGGGACCGATCAGACACAGCCCTCATGTATTGTATCATGGATAAGAATCTAAACATGTAAAGTGCCTAAAACGTTAGCGTGTTCCTGTATCTAATGTGTGCTTGGCTAATTAAAAACATACCAAACCTCACAACAGTATGTGGAGCAGAAATGAAGAGTCCAGTGGAGCAGTGTTGGAGAGCTGCATCAGAATATGAGCAGGAAGAGGTGCCCGGGACAAATGGCCAAGAACAAAAGGTGTCTGCTACGCAGCACAGGTGTGTTTCCTCCAGCGAGAGGTGGAGGAGCTGTATCGGCACAGCAAGTCAGATGTGACATGTCCAAGCTCCTTACTGGTTGTGAAGATACTGACTTCTCTTATTGTACGAGTTTACTTCAAGTATTAAAATATCACAACAAGCAAAGACCACACATTATTAGTCTAATACAGGTTCACACATACAGCATATAATTTCTCAGTTTTATATATGTGTACACAATTATTATGTTGCTGCCAGTTTAATAGACTGCCCAAACTGAATCTCACATTTCTTTTATTGATCTGATACATTGTCTGAATATGTGCTGGTAGGTGTGTGTCTGTACCCTTGGCTGAGCTGTGGTCCTGCAGTCCAAAAATCAGTACCCTGAGTGGAAGTCTGAGTAATCTCAGATGCCTACTGATGAACAACCCCAGAGTCAAACTGAGCCAGGATGGCTGGGCTGTGCTTGTAGATTACCAGGACCAAGGTATTAACATTTGATTGGTTTCAGATTTTTCCTAAATGTTAAAATGTTTTAGAAAACATTTAGAAGGGGAACAAAGTATTGAGTAAAATGTGACTGTTATTATGCAAGTTACGCTTCTAGGGGTGTGTATATTTCCTCATGTTTAGTGATGGTGCACAGTTTTGAGAGCAGTGGTATCACAGGAAGACTGTATTGATACTTTGCTTGAGCATGGCAAAAATTGTAAATACTGTACTGTCAGTAGTTTTTAATATGGAATATATATATTTTTTTTATTTAACCATAGATTAGTCTCTCTGTGTCCTGGTCAAGATGGGCAGCAGTAACAGTGAATCAGACAAACGGCTAAATATACTAGATATCATAAAGATGTGCTTGTCCACCAGCCACAAGCAGAGCTGTGGCCCTCTGGTAAACGGTGGCCAATTTATATAATGTAACATTTTAAAGACTAAAAAATATCAGCAATTACCAGAAGGAGATGATATATATTGTATTATGGTGTCAGGCTTAATCTGTGTAAACTGCAGTACTAAGGTCTGTCCAGCAGATGTCTACACATTGGCTCCATAGTGGTTCCGCAGC